CACTAGGAGGAGGGTAACACATTCTGCTTAAATGGTTGAGTTTGACCAGTTAAAGACCCTTAACCTAATGTCTGGAAACAATATCTTAGCTATCATGTGAACACTGCTTCTTTTTAAAAGTGCTAATGAGAACTAGGATTTGGATTACTGCTCCAGCAGTATCTGCTTGGGCAACTCATGAATGCGCCAAGAGTGTTTTTAAGATGCTCCAGCATTGCCTTTTGTACAGCTGTTTTTTTCCAAATAATCATTGCAACCAATCAGGTATAAATTAATTGAGTAATCAGTAGGAATGATGTCTGCAGCAACACAATGAGATAGACAGCTAGGAGACTGAAATAACCTTTCTCTGTCCAGTTTTCTGTAGTTGTGAGTACTGTTGTGCCCTTTCCTTGAAATCACAAGACTAGCATGTTTTAACTTCCCAGATAGAACTGGTTTTCGGCTTGACTGGTCCTAACCATAACTTGGCTTTCTTCAGTTTGCTTTTATAGAAAACTAAGCAGTATATGTGTGTGCATTTGTGTAATTTTTTTTCAACACTTTAAAAAGTTACATAGCTTGGTAATATAGGAGTAGAGAAATCGGCAGTATTCCAGAAGAATACTGTCTGCTTATTTGTTATGCTATTTGCATAAAAAGCATAAATGCATACAAAACAGTGACTTGAAAATTACAAGGATGGCAGCATTCTGGAAGTTTTCTGTAATTTGAGCTCTTGAATTTCTGATATATCTGTTCACAAAGCGTCTTCTGAGGATCCGTTTTGATTTGTTAATAGAAGTTTAAGCTGAACAGAACAGTGTTTATTACCAGGTTACTTTTATGTCAACATTTTGCATCTCTGATCCTGAACTAATTATAACAATTACTCTTAATGCAGTCAGTTTAAGTTTATAGCTTCTGAGAGCCAGTTCTTACAAGATCTCAAAGCTTAACATTTAAGTATTAATCCGGCCATTTAATCATGGCTACTATTTTAGGTAACTTGTCACTTTATGTCTTTCAGATTTAGATGAGTGTGCTGCTTCTCCTTGCAAGGATCACCAGTATTGTTTGAACACAGATGGATCTTTCTCATGCAAAGGTTTCTTTTTAATCTGCTGTTATATGTTACTTGTTGTTTATAATCCTAATTTAAGAGGTAATGATAGAAAGGGCATGATACCAGGCATTTATGTAGTCCAGTACTGACTGGGCATGGGGATGATGAGGCTTTAGACCTATTGTATGGGAAAAGCAAGTGATTTCTGGTTATTTCTACTCCTCTCTTGTGAGAACCCTCCTGGAGTACAGTGTTGAGCTCTGGGACCCCCAGCATAAGAAAGACATGGACCTGAGTGAGTGGGTCCAGAGGAGGACCACGAAGATGATCAAGGAACTGGAGCACCTCTCCTATGAGGACAGGCTGCCAGACCTGGGATTGTTTAGCCTGCAGAAGAAGAGGCTCTGGAGAGACCTTATAGTGGCCTTCCAGTACCTGACAGGGGCCTACAGGAGAGATGGAGAGGGGCTCTTTGTCAAAGAGTGTAGTAATAGGACAAGAAGTAAAAGTTTTAAACTGAAAGAAGATAGATTTAGATTAGATATTAGGAATAAATTATTTACTGTGTGGCTGGTGAGACACTGGAACAGGTTGCCCAAGGAAGTTGTGGATGCTCCCTTCCTGGAAGTGTTCAAGGCCAGGTTGGATGAGGCTTTGACCAGCCTGGACTAGTGGAAGGTGTCCCTGCTGATTGCAGGGCGGTTGGAACTAGGTGATCTTTAATGTCCCTTCCAACCTTAACCATTCCATAATTCTATGATTTCTTTTGTGGGTAAGCTGTCTGGCTTTAAGGGTGGTACGTACTTTAAACCTCAAATACATGAATTTTTTTGCTTAAAATATTTAATCTTTAGTGTGTGATGCCAGCTGTGTGGGTTGCACAGGGGAAGGTTCTGACAAGTGCAAGACCTGCGCATCTGGGTACATGAAGGAAGATGAGAAGTGTACAGGTTGGTGGATTCTGCAGTACGTGGTAGAACGCCAGTTAGCTCACTCCGTCACAGTTAGCCATGCTGAAAAGCTGTTAAGTACATTTGTGTTTGCTTCTGTTTTCAAGCTTATCAAAATGAACCCAGTCATTCTGATATTAACAGCAAAGACTTTCTTTATAACTTCCTTTATATTATTGAGCTAATATGCATGACGGGGCTTAAAGGTGAGACACTCCTACAAAAGGAACAAAGTATTTTGGGGTGCATTCTGGAAACAAATATGAGTCTCTTATCAGTTATCTACCACTTCATTAGGAAGTGTATCTGTATTAATTTTGTAACAGAAAGGGAGGAACACAATGTTGATTCTGTTGTCTTTCTGTTAATCCATTAATGTCCAAGTTCAAATGATATTAATTCATAGTGAATTATAACATGTGAAATGATAGCAAAAAGAGTGAAATTAGAGTTTCTTTGTGGGGAAGAGCAGAAGGTATGCACGATCTTAAGTAGCTGTTAACTATGATGATGTAGTATTTACAGGCTCCCTTCCCTTTAGTTGTACTTGACATAAATAGAAAATGGCTATGGAAAATCTTCAGTAGATTAAGACAAGTGCTTTTGCTTAGTTGATTTCCCCTCATAGGGGTCTGCAAAACATTAAAAAAAAAAAACAAACCAAAAAACAAGACAACAAAAAAACCAGTGCTATTTGAATAAACTTGAAACACAGTGTAAATCATGAAGAACTGTAACAGATATTTTAGCAGAAGTTAAGTCTGTTGCAGCAGCATTCTGCTCATCGGTGTTTTTTGTATTCGAATAGAATTTTGTTTATATGACTGAGCACAAATAAGATTCATCACAAAATAACAGCAGTGGACTCTTTCTTTCCCTGTCCTATCTCTAGATATAGATGAATGTAACCTTCCTGAAAAGGTCTGCGTGAAAGAGAATCAAGACTGTGTTAATACTTTAGGTAGTTACAAGTGCGTATGTTCAGAAGGGTTTGAAGATAAGGATGGAACATGTGTTCAGACTGTAAAAACAGGCAAGTGACTTTTCAATTAAATTTTTAAAAAATGTGCTATATCGACAACTTTCAGGTATGTTTCTGTCTAAGGGTCTAGTCACTTGTCAATTCTTCTGTGTGATTTCTCATCTTCCTACAGCTGTGGTCTGTATCAACTAGTTTGTGGTGTAGGCCACATTCTGGCATGCTTGTTTTCTTGCTTAAAGACAGTGGAATTTTTTAAATGTCCTGATCTTGTGTTGGTATTTTTTTTGGTTAATACAGGGTTTTGTTTGTAAGTCACTGAAGTGTCAGGCTTAGTTACATAAAGTGAACTAGCAAATTACTGCTATCATAAAAAGGAGGTGGTTTTCCTCCCCACTTTTTTTTTCCTTTATTGTTATTTATGACTTGAGGGTTTATCTGATTGCATGAAAGCTGCTTTAACTCACTGAAATCTCAGAAAAATCAAGCAGAATTCTTTTTGCTGGACGAGCAAGCTGAATTTATTCATTTTGTGATCAGAAAAATGCCAGAGCTGGTGTGAAGGTGAATATGGAGAAGATATCCATCTTTCAGTAGTAGAGAACTGTTTAGCTTGACTTATGCCTTCAGTCAAGAAATTCAAGTGTTATTTGCTCTAGGATGTATGACACAGTATGGACAGAATTACATTCATTAGTGTTTCATTACTCAACCTACGCTTTTTTTGCAATTCCAGAATGAAAGACAGGATTAATTTGCAATAAAGAGTGTAGGAGAATTGATGAGCGACACTCAGTTTCATGCCTTTATTTTCTTTCTACTTCTTAGCTTGTTTGGGGTTTTTTTGTGTTGTCCCCACCCCCCCGGACTGCTTTTTCATATTGTACTAATAAGTTGTAAAGATCTATGTAGTATTGCAACTCAAGACTATTCAGTTCACACCTTATACTCTCAGTACTCACTGTTATTGGTCCTTTAAAAATCAGTTGTGTACTTGCCCTGGGCAGATATCAGGGATAACTCAGGATATCAGTTACTATGTTTTTTTTTAATGCGGCCAGACGTTTTGAGAATAAAAGCAAACTGAACACTTGACAAATTATCTTAGCTTTTTTCTTAGATGAATGCTTTTACCAACATAATAAAATTCCTCTGCTTTTTTTAAAGGCTGTTTTAACATCTGAACTGAGCAGTTTGCACTGTAGAAAATAATTCCAAGTAATACTTGCTTTTTTTGTTTTCAAATACCAGAATTTCTTCCAACAGGTGATGTGGAAAGGAGAAAGTTCATTGTAAATAGCTGAAAACAAAGCTTAGAATAGAAATAGCTGTGCTGCTTTTTTCTACCACTCACAATATCATACCAGTTTATTTGAAATGTTTTGTTTGCATCTAGTAAAAAAAAAAAAAATTATAAACTTAAACTAGGAGGATGGTGCAAGTAGCTTTTCTGTATGGCTTTATGGCTTATCTAGTCTTGATGACTATGTTGATTTGAGTTTCTCTTTAAAAAAATCCTAATGTCAGTAATAATACAGTTGTATTCTAATTATAGTATTTAATTTCACAGGAGAGGAAGTAGAGAGTGAAACAACTGAGCCTTCACCTGCTGGACATGATGACTTATGATCTGCATTCAGAACCAAAAGACATTCCTATCTAAAGTTTTAAATTATTGGACTAAGCCTCTACTAGATGGCATACTGTGGAAATGGCATTAAATATGCAGGTTGCAGTTAAGATTTTTTTCTTTTTAAATGGTGATAAACTGCTCTTTAAGATGCATTTCTTTATTTGGAAAATGCCACTTCTTATATAATTCTTCAAGAACAACACTCTAGATGGGTTAGTATAAAATTTGAATTAACATAACATTATATCCAGCAACTGTAAACAATTTACAGGTTTCTCATTCTAGTGCCTCCTGAAAACTGTCATAATTTGGAAGGACTTTGTTGCACTTCTTAATTTAAGAAAAATTTAGACTGAAGTTTCGTGGTTCTTGACATGAAAAATAATTCTGTTACTGAAATACAGTTTTTAGAAATTGTCAAAGGGAATCTCTTTTTGGGGAAAGCACTGTTTCCTTAAAACAGAATGCCTCATGCTGCATTCAATAAAAGTTTATTTTGTTGGAATATGCCTTAAATTTTTTTAAGATGTTAATACCTTGCTGTGTTGTCATGTCTGTTTTTCATTTAGGTAGTGAAAAAAAGAAAAAAGATTTTAAAAAGCCCGCAAAAAAACCCCCACCAAAAAACAACAAACCCCCACAAAAACCCAGAACCTTGTAAGCACTGTATTTCAGTTCAGCAGCACTCAGTTGTGCTGGAATGTATATGGGGGGTGAGGGGGACAGAACAAACTGTACACACTTCCCTCTAAAGGAAGAATTATGTCAAACTTAAAACAGCTTTCCAAAGTTAGGTAAACAAGTCTTTCTTCGAGATAACTTGCATGTGAACTAGTTTATACAGTGATGAAAAGTAAGGTTGGCTAACACCTGCACTCACTGGCTCACAGTTGATATACAAATACTCTCAGAATTGGGGCATACATATGACTTTTCAATCTGCTGCTGCATTTGGTAGCTTCCTGTCTTTTTCAGAGCAAGTATACTACAGTCAGTTTATCTTGTTGTCTCTTGTGTGTCTCTTGAGCTGAAAGGCAAGTATAGGAGCTAAGATTGGTGTATTCTGCAGGACCATCCAGGTACAGTATTTGAAGCTCTGATGGGAGTGAGTGAAGTTTGGAATACATTGTGCTAGTGGATACAGGAAGGATAGAGGGATTACAGAATACAGCTAAAAAGAGCATGTTTTAAGCCTGGCTATGAAAAAGTTATAAATACTACCCTGAGGTAAGTGGGAATAAAAAGGGTGTGAATAGGATTGACCTGTTGAGCAGTGAAGGCCAAACACCTCTGTACTTTTGAAAACTTCTTTGTTCGGACTAAGTCACAGTTCAGTTTGTGAACGGTGCATGTAGGATTTGTATGTGCAATAGTTATTTATGAATATTGTACAAAAAAGGACTCTGTTGGATTCTTATGTTAAAAGCTGTCTAAGATGATCTTGTGTGCTGTAGTTTAAATTCCCAAGAGTATTAAAGTATCTGTAACAGTTTTCTTTAAATTACTTTCCTTCAGGTATTATGTCTAGATGTTTCTTAATTTGCCAGTCTGAGGATGAAAACTTTTGTGCTTTCTCAGCTCTGCTTGCTGGAGATGGGCCTATATGCCACATATCTTTCAAGTTGTAGGGTAGGTGTTGTATTTAATAAGTGCTAAATTAAAAGGAGGAAAAAGTAGGTAGTTTGGGGAGCACAGGGAATACAGTTCCAGGATCTTTACTTTTTTAGTACAGGTGTAGCCAGTTATGGTAATATTAGGCCTTAAGGATCTTGCAGCAGTGTAGCTTGTCTTTGTTGCTCAGTCATTGACACTCCCAGGTGTTCCAGATTATGGTCTGAATGGTCCTTGTTTATAGTAACATGAATTGTCAGTTCTGTTTGGACCATCAACTTGTACTTAATGGAATTGTCTCTCCAGTACAAACTCTTCTATTAATGCTTCAAGCTTGAAATAATTCTTCCTCATATGGGGACTTGCTATTCTAAGTTATCTTGAAGTTATTTGGGACTCCGAGGAGATACCTGATGAGGTTCTTAACTACCTTAATGGAAGCATTTGCTTTCCATTTCCTCCTTCTGCAAGCTTTGGGCAAAAAGCCCTAATTGGATTGTTCCCAGTTAAGCTCAACTTTGAGATGAAGTAATGAAAAACAAAAACTTTAAGAATTTGGTTTTTCTTTGGTAAGAAAGAGAAGAAATTCTTCCTAGCCTGACCTGCAAAAGTAATGAGAGTAGTCTGATACAACCAAACTGTTGTTTAGTTACGGAGAATAATGTTTTCAGCTTTCCATTACCACAGTAGAATCATCAGAGTGTTGTTCCCTAGGAAACATATGGATGTGGTACCTGCGTGTTGGGGGACCCTAATATCTTTTTCTCCAATCATCCCATTCCCCTGCCACCCAATTATTAGCACCTATTGCTCTACGTTAAATTATTGTGGATAAACTTGATAAAACTTAGACTAGATATAAGGAAGATATCTTTTTACAGTGAGGATGGTGAAACACTGGAAGAGTTTACCGAGAGAGGTGGTAGAAGCCCTATTCAAGGAAACATTTAAGGTCAGGCTGGATGGAGCTCTGAACAATCTGATCTAGTTGAAGATGTCCTTGCTTACTGCAGAGAGGTTGGACTAGATGACCTTTAAAGGTCCCTTCCAACCCAAACCATTTATGATTCTGTGAAATCAGGTCCAGAAAGGTGAATTCAAATATTTTGAGCTTTCTCGGAAGGAATGTTGACCAAGTTACGTATTTGATAAATACTTAACATTATGGTACTGCTTTGTGCCTTCTCAGTGCTGAGTTTCTAAAGAGTTAATCCTCTTGTTTTATTCTACATCTTCATTTTACTACTTCAGACTGTAATTGATGTATTAATTTTAGAGGTTGGAACTAAAATTTTTTTTGATTGAATTTTTTTTTTCCTCTGCCTTGAATAGAGTCAAGATTGGACATACAGTTGGCTTGGATTTTGCCCCTCATAATCGGAAAGAAAGGGATGAGAGAGCAGAATTTAAACAGGTTAACAGAAACTGTTAATGAAGGTCAAGTGCTTTGTGTGAAACAAACCAGTCCAGGGTATTAATGCTTTTTACTGTATGTCTTAACAGCTTAGTGCTAAAAAACTGAGCTGTTCCCGTTACATTTTTCATTACATTGTAATGAGATCTGGTTATGTAGTACAAGACTTCATATTTAGAGTTGTCTGGAATTACAGATCTCATGTTAAACTATATGAATATGTTGGTAAATGCTTCAGAAGTGGTCTGAGATACCCCAAAACCAAGATTTGTGTATTAATGAAGTGTTGGTTAGGTACTTTTGTACCAAGGTGAACTTTGAACTTCTAGATTCACAGCTGTTATTTTGTAAACTTCATACTGTGTGGTATCAAACTAAAAACAGCATCCCTTTTGCTAGTTTGTCTTAGTACTTCTTTGGGCTTTCTTGACCTAAGACTAAGCACTTTTTGCCATGGGAAATACACTATTCAGTACCATCTAGGCACTTTAAAGAACAAGCTTCTCTTGTATGTTATAGCTGGACTCCACAGACAGTCTGGGAACAAGCAAACCTACAGACCTGCCTGTTTCAATTAAAGCTTTAAACAGGGTCAGGAAGGCAGTATGCAGCATATATACCACTACTGTCCTTCAGTGTCTATGCTTAGGAGTCAAAGTATGTGCTGAAATGTTTTCATCTGAGCATTGGGACGTAATATTTAATTTATTCTTCGGTGTGAATTCCCAGTATGCCCATCATAGACACTAAGTTCTCTGCAAAGTATCACAGAAGGGTAGGGATTGGAAGGGACCTCTGGAGATCATCTAGTCCAACCCCCCTGCCAGAGCAGGTTCACCCAGAGCAGGTCGCAGAGGAAAGCGTCAAGGCGGGTTTGGAATATCTCCAGAGAAGGAGACTTCACAGCCTCTCTGGGCACCCTGTTCCAGTGCTCTGTCACCCTCACAGTACAGAAGTTTTTCCTCATGTTTTAAGTGGAACCTCCTGTGTTCCAGCTTGTGCCTGTTGCCCCTTGTGCTATCACTGGCCACCACTGAAAAGAGTCTGGCCCCATCCTCTTGACTCCTGCCCTTTAGATATTTATAAACATTGATAAGGTCCCCTCTCAGTCTTCTCCGGGCTAAACAGACCCAGCTCTCTCAGTCTTTCCTCATAAGAAAGATGCTTCAGCCCCTTAATCATCTTTGTAGCCCTCCGCTGGACTCTGTCCAGAAGTTCCCTATCTAATAATACATATATACCCTATATTCATAAATAGGGTAAAAGAAGACTGTTTTGCAGAATAACCCAATGATTTAGGTAATTCGGGAAGTCAGAGATCACCTGAAAGGTTTCAAATCACTATTCTCTTTCTCAGGAGAGATGCCATAGGTTATAGACAAGATCAGGACACAGATCACTGTAAGTTATGAAGTGTATTGTACAAACACAACGCTATTTTTCCTTTTATAGTTGACGAGGACTGATCATATGTTGTCCTAGTATGTATGGGAGAGGTACTCTTCAGTCAAGCAGTTGTCGTTGCTAGCCTTTGAACTGACATTTGCAAGTTGAAAAACAACCAAGAGTTGTGAAAATCCCTAAATCACATTTTGAGTGTTAAGCTCTCAGTGTGTGCAGCACAATGTGCATACGTCAAGACAGTTCTCTCTGATAATCAAGGTGTACCCTGCTCTTCAGGTTGCTTTCAGACCATTCTTAATACAGCACAAGGTTAGGCATAGTTCAGGTTTCCCTTAACAAGTCACTAGTTGCAAAGAAAGCATGGGGAGGAAAAAAATAAATTAAAAAAAACCCCCAAGCAGTCCTGGATCATATATAACAATAATATAAAAGACAGTTCTCCATAATGGTCCTAGTTGACCTCCTGGTACCCCACCTTTCCTTACTGCTGTCTATCAGTCTGCTGTGGGTTATTTTCCGAGATTATATTTTATCTGTTCTGAGAGGAAATTTCTGAGGTTATTCAAAGGAACTGTCTTTGTGCTTTTTTTATTTTTTATTTTTTATTTTTTTTTTATTCCTTCCTTGGATCAAAATGGAATTTTCCTCATCTTTTTCAGCAACTTCACACTATGTCTGACTTTCTGGTTTCAGTTCCAATGTTAATCCAAAGATGATCTGCAGATAGAGCTCAAATATGTTTGCAAGGATCATTTTTTTCCTCATATTTCACTTAGAATTAAATTTTAATGGATGCTGATGTAGTAGTCTTTCTTGCACTAGTATATTAGATTTTTTTTCTTTCTTACTTGAAAGTACCTTCGAAATGTTATTAGACCTCTTTTTGTAGCCTTTTTGTCTTGATTTTAACTTTTTTAAAAGTTATTCAAGTTAATACTTCTCTTGCAAGACTGGAATGTTAAAACAATTTCTACTCTACTGGTTGTTCTTTGTAGCACACATGGCAACAAGTAAAGTAGTTGAGAAGACAGGCATATCCTTGTTACCCTTTTTTTGTTGAATTTCTTGGGGGAGAG